CGATTAGCTGAATCGGTATCGATATGACTTAGTCGTAGGGAAGTGACCTGTACGTAGCTGGGTTGCTAGGCACCGTGTCGCTCTGGGTAGTTCATTGAGGATCTTAGCAGTTTTCGCAGCTGTCAGCTTTCCGGCTGATGTTTTTGAGGTATTGGACTTGATGACTGACAATTTCGAAGCTTCGATTTTCAGTGGCGCTGTATAGCGTTCGCGCATTCTGCGTCGCATTGCTGAGTATGAAGTACTAAGTGTGAAGTCAATGTTGGTGTAATGATTACATTTTGTCCTTCCCTCGTTGGCTGTTCTATCAGCTAGTTCGTTACCATAGATGCCCGTATGTCCTGGGATCCAGTTCAATTGGACTATGGTTCCTTCTCTTCCTTTCATTCTTTTGATCCTTTCGATTTTGTCAAGTACTTGTTTTATCAAGTATTGTCCCGTCTTTGTCGTTTGTAACTGAACGATCGCCGACAAGACCGCTAGACTATCGCTATGGATGAAGACAGTATGTGGGGTCGGAATGTGTGGGGGTATGAACTCACGTTCTACTTGCATTAATGCTAGATAGACTCCTACTAACTCGGCTTCGTATATTGTAAACAGGCTGTCAGTGCCTAGTCTGTAAGAATTTCTAACCCACTCACTTTTGTGTGGTTCCTAACAAAAAATTTATCGGAATATTAAAAATGAAAAATGATAATAAACACTTTATCTAAATTAGAAAACTAGAATTATTATAATTCGGATATGGGGTAGCGGCTAACCTATCGGTTTTTCACTTGAATGACCACCGAAGCTCCGGGTTCGATTCCCGGTATCCGAATTTCTTTTTGCTTATAAACATTTTTTACCTGTCCGGCTGGAGCGTTGTGGAGACATTTTGTGTATTTCAGTGTCAAGGGTACTTTGACGGGATTATTGAAGTATGTTAGTAGAGCTGTTACGTATCTTGTGCTTTCTAGTAACAATTTACGACACTTTCATATGAGGAAATTAAATAACTTATTGATTATGACAGCATCTTTGATATGCTATAACTTGTCACTTCTTAGTTCCCAACATCCATATACCCAACATGCAACTAGTCGCGATATTAAAGAAGACGCTCTTGTTGGCGTTATTAATATTTTTGCATCTATTGCATCTCAGCGTTCAATTATTTAAAAGTCTCAAAGCAGCACTCAGATTACGAAAGAGTTATAACGTTCAAGCGCCAAGAACTTTAGCAGTTGTCCTAATTTTGAATGAATATAAAGGGCTTTGGAAGCGTGACAAGCAGTTACAATGGTTAATAGATAGCGCTAAGAATGCTACCAGGTGGTGCGAAAACCATGGTGTTCAGCAACTAACTATATATGAGCACACAGGTGAGTGAATGCTGATTATTACCGATTTATGAAATTAATAAAATCTAAAGGAACTCTCAAAAAGTATTATAACGATGTCGATGTCGAAGATACGAGTACAGATACGCCACCGCTGTCTCCTCCACCAACACCTACATTAACCCCACAGAGTCTTGGTAACATAAACAAAAGTACCGTCTCTGTGAGACTACTCTCAGGCGATGAAGCAACGGAGAGATTCTTCAAAGTAGCTGCGGATGTCCAAAACGAGGAATTTAGTTCACATACCCAACGAATCGCATTCACAGATAGTCTTATGAAGAGATGGTATAAGCATGATGATCCCGAATTAATAGTTGTTCACCACCTTCAACCATCATTCATCAGTAAATGTTTACAGGTGAAGGGGTTCCCTCCATGGCAACTCAGGGTTGGTGAAATATATCATGAAAAATATCGTTTGCCGTTCTCAAGGGGCGCGTTATCGGAAGACGTTCTAACAAGGGCACTCTATTCATATGGTAAAGTCGAACAACGTCTAGGAAAGTAGGAATATACGGACAATTACATTTATTTAAATATTGGCATTTATTTACATCATTTCTTCTGTTCATGTACTTGATTGAGGAGTTTGCCAGAGGAGATAGCACTCTTGATGTTGTCAATAACTAAGACTTCCATTTTGTGTTGGGTTTCACGTGTTTCCGTACCCATGTGTGGGAGAAGGGAAATGTTTGGCATGTCAATCAATCTTTGGTCGATGTTTGGCTCATCTGGATAAACGTCGAGACCTGCTGAGGACAATTTACCAGACTTGAGGGCGTCAATGAATGCTTCTTGCTCGACAACACCACCTCTAGCTGTGTTAATCAAGACCGCACCGTCCTTCATCTTGCTGAATTGTTCTCTACCGAATGAGTTTGCTGTTTTTTCATTGAGTGGGAGGTTAAGTGAGATGACGTCAGAGGTAGCCAGTAACTCATCCAGAGTGCTGACATACTCGCATGGGAAACTTGGAGGAGGTTGAATTTCTCTTCTATTGTGATATTTTATTTTCATATCGAAACCTAAAGCTCTCTTTGCTAATGCGCCACCGATACCACCCATACCGATGATACCAATTGTTTTACCTTCTGGATCAGAAGCTGGCTTTAAACCTTGCTTGAAGACACCCTTTCTAGCGTTAACTTCTGCTTTCCAGTATTGACGTAATGAAGATAAGATCAAGAACATTGCTGTAGTAGCTGTGGCGTCGTCTACAGCTGCTGGTGTGTGAGATACTTGAATACCTATATTTGTCAACTAAATGGATAACAAGTCATAAGGAATTCTCACCTCTAGCAGTTGCTGCGTCGACATCAATTTGATCATATCCAGCGCCATTGTGGCAGATAAATTTCACAGTTGATGGTAACTTATCTATCAATTCTTTATCAAAGAAACCAATTTTGCTTGCGCTGTCGTTGTGTCTGTAGATTGCGACTATACCGGAGTACTTGGTCTCTAGTTCCTCGTAGAATTGCTGACGGGAGGTTGATGTGAGTTGTACGACTTCACCAAATTGCTTGAGCTGCTCAATTTCCTTGTGAGCCCATACGATAGTACCAGAGATAAGAATCTGTATTTCTGTTAGTTATAGTACTTGTAAAAGCTTAAAAGGACTAACTTTTGCTGACATTTTAAATTTATTGTGTTGGTAATTATGCTAGAACACTCCGTTTTTATAGAATCACATCCGGAAGCTGTTCCGAAATGATTGAAATAACAGCGAGATGAAATCGGACTGTCCTCAATAACAAACTTTCATCATGGCAAGCAGTGCAGAAACTCAAAATCACTTTTCCCCTTCAGATTTATTCTCTCTCTCTAATCAAAACGTCCTCATTACGTAAGTGATACGGAAATTACCTTATACAAGCTAACAAGAGATAGCGGTGCAACCAGAGGTATAGGTCAAGCATGTGCTGTTGGTTTGGCAAAAGCAGGTGCTAAGCATATAGTTTTAGTACAAAGAGACACTTCAAATACTGCAACCAGGGATCAGATCACAGACGCAGGAGCTAAGGCTGATATTGTCGTTGCTGATTTATCAAACATTGATGCAGTCAAGGGCGTCTTCGATCAAGCACTCAAAGTTGCAGACGGTGGTCACATCGATGTCCTCGTTAATTGTGGTGGTATACAGAGACGCTCACCTAGCACAGAATTCAGTGAAGATGACTGGGACGACGTAATCAACGTAAACTTAAAGTCTGTTTGGTTGCTATCTCAAGCTGCCGGTAGACATATGGTACCTAGAAGACACGGAAAAATCATCAACTTTGCATCCTTGCTCACATTCCAAGGCGGTTTCACTGTACCAGCTTACGCATCAGCTAAGGGTGCTGTTGGTCAACTTACAAAGGCTCTTTCAAATGAATGGAGCAGGGAGAATATTAATGTCAACGCAATTGCACCTGGATATATAGCTACAGATATGAACGAAAAATTGCTCGCTGATCCTACAAGGTTGAGACAGATAAGTGAGCGTATCCCTGCCAATAGATGGGGCCAACCCGCAGACTTTGTTGGTCCAGTCATCTTTTTAGCAAGTGAGGCATCAAAGTATCTCAACGGTGAGATTCTTACTGTCGACGGTGGATGGATGGGTCGTTAAATTGTATTGTAATGCTAAAGTAGAATGGTATGCATAAATGTCTGTAAATTGCAAGTGGATATATTGCGAACTATCAAGTCGTATCAATGAGGTGTTAATCCTTGCAGTGCCTCTATTGATGTAGTTTTCTTTATACGAATAGTCATGATCTCTTCCTGAGCACTTAAATGCTACCTTCTGAGTCGGAACTGTAAATACCATTATTAAAGTCGATAAACCACCCTTCTTTGATGAGGATTCCTCCCAAATCCTTCAATGGTACTCCCGCAGCTTTCAAACCTAACATATCAGTAGCGAATTGTAGTATCTTCTGATTGTCGAATTTGATATTGAGATGGCCACTTGTAGATATCGCTTTTGCTAGTGTTCCATAGATTGTTCCTGCTACGAAGGCTTCATCTATGGAATTACTGCTGGTGTATGATCTCGTACGCGAATGGGTGCGTGGTCTACGAGAACTTTCTGCTCTGATGAACTCTGATGTCTTCAATGAAAGCATATAGGTCGTTCTTTCATCCCAAATGCAATATAAGTTGGCCTTTTTAGAAACCCTCAGCGACATGAAGAGTAAAAACGTTCTTGCATCATCAAAGCCGCTTTTCTATGATCGACGTTAATATCTCAGGAGCTCAATACTTTATTACCCACATTGACGAACTCCTTGTTGAAATATACAACGTCTGCGAATGGAAGACAATCTTCAATATCAGGTTTTAATCTGCTAAAACAGCTTATAGATATAGTTGCCTGATCATTCAACGTTACGTCAAGGCCACTTAGGTATTTGTTTCCTCGTATGTACTTCATAGTCTCATACAGGTTTGCTGTTGTCTGTCCATCAAAATGTACCCAATCGAAAGACGACCTTTGAAGCACATCATCCAAGAATTCTAGAGGTGGTAAAGAAGTATTACTATTGCTATTAGAATGATTAAACCTTGTAGTCATGTTATTAGACGTGTTGTGAATGATAAACGTATGCTGGATCTCATATTAGTATGTACTTTAATAAGCTCTGAGACTAACAGGTACGCCCCCAGAATCTGATTTATGAATGTGTTCTGTAGAAATACCTTCATCTTCTAATTGAGCCTTGACGCAGTTGCTGTTGAGATCCCTGCCTAATTGGGAGTAAACAAACGTTTTAGTATCAGGTAAACCATTGAGTCCGATTAGAATATTTGAGGCTCCTTGTATAGTACTAGATTGCGATTTGCTCTTAACTTTGCTGCCTTCTTTTGGGTAACTCGAAGTAGAGCAGGTTGTCGTAAACTCTAAATTGCCAGCTGACAATACCTTTAATATTCTACCCATACTAGAGTATTCGAATTGTCTTTAATCTCGAGAAGGTTATGGTCGTCAGGTACCAGGAAGAGATACGTAGGATATTGTAAGTATATGATAAGAATAAAGCTAATATCATATGTAGCTACTTACACTTATTCAAATCTTTCCAATATTGCAATCTAATGCAACTATCTAATCTCCGTTAAACACTATCAGTCACAGAGTAAAGATAACTCTGACAGTTCTGATCTATCTGAACATTTGTATCAGAAATTTTCTAATTTATAGAATACGAATGACATATCACCTGCATATGCCCACACAAGTTAGTCCGATAGTGCAAAACTTGCACGATGCAGAAACTTAAACCCATATATATGTATAAATATAGGCTCTAATATATGGAATAGAAACTGTGACAAGTTTTTACATTTAATTGTGTCTCTCAACAGTCATCAAACTCAAATACTTACAAAGACAACTCCTAAACAATGTTAAAACACTATCATTTATAGCATTATTATAGTCCAGATAACTTTGAAAAATATTACTGGAATTGTCAATCTTTGAAAGTATCATTGAAATCGCATGAAACACTGTCGATAACATCAGATATGCTGTTTGACCTAGATAAAGGCATTTGAGAAGAATTTTGGAACGATAGATAGGAACTCCTCCTTGATAATCTTTATTAATCGTTATAAATAATAGATGTTATAAAATATACAAAAACTTAGATAGCAGATCGTGTATGAAACCTGTTCGCTCGATGGATTTATTCAAGCTTGATAACAACTTTACCGAAGTTGTTACCCTTGAGAAGATCATTGAAAGCGACTGGTGTACTGTCGAGACCATCATATACATGCTCTTTAACCTTGATAGAACCGTCTGTGACGAGTTTTGGCATGATTGCTAAGAATTCGTCCTCGATAGTCTTTCCAGAGAATTCTGGGTTCTTGCTTGGTTGGTTTTGAAGGTAGAAGACAATGAAACCCTTAATAGTAAGTTTCTTTGCGACAATTTGGAAAGTGTTCTTAATACCGTATGCTTCAGTAGCATTGTATTGACTGATAGCACCACAGGCCTTTATGTAACAGTCAGAAAGCTTCAGAGCATTTCCAGGACACTTACAATAATTCTTCCGAAGTCTTCTATCGTATCCAAAACGGCTTCTAATGTAGAACCTCCAACGTTGTCGTAGAATATGTTAATTGGGCCAAATTTCTTGATTTCCTCACGTGTGTCTGAGGTTTTGTAGTTGAAAGCATGGTCTGCACCGATCTCCTTGCAGAATTTTACCTTCTCATCAGAACCAGCACTGGCCAAAACCTTAAGGCCCTTGAGCTTACTAATCTGTACGACCAAAGCTCCTACTGCTCCTGAGGCAGCTGAGACGAAAATTGCTTCACCCTTTTTAAGCTCAACTAAAGCTTCCAAACTTGCGAATGCTGTACGACCAGGCATACCGAGAGCACCGACAAGTGTCTGTGGGCTGGCTGGGCTGTTTGTAACATTTGAAAAGCCTTTTGAGCTGATTACAGCGTATTCTGAGAAAGGTAAAGCACCATAGACGAGATCGTTTTCCTTGAGGTCGGCACTGTTTGATTTAATGACACGAGCAACACCTGCATTGTCAATTGGCTTTCCAATTGAGAAAGCTGGAACGTATGATTTAATTTCCTATTTTGCGTCATCAGCATGTTTCATTTCGCCGTGTTCACACATACCTCTGGACGCATTCTACCTCTTTGATAAGGATCGAGCGATAAAGTGAGAGTCTTGACAATAGCTGAACCCTCTGGGATGTTTTGGTCGAGGTTGAATTCCTCAGTAACGACCTTGAGGGTTTTGCCAACGACGGGTTCACCGACTGGGACTTCGTTGAAGATAACTGATTTGTTTTGTACCATTTTGCTGTAAAGTCTGTTAATTTATTTCTTTAATTTGTCTCTTAATTACCTTTTTTCGTTTATAGTTGTGATGAAGAAGGCACACGGTCTCGTAATATATATTTTCTCACCTCCACAGTAGCTTCACGAATATTAATAATGCACTTGCTTATAAATATACAAAAATATCTAAAAAATCAATTCTTGATAGGTTTGCGAATAATGTTAACTTTTCTTACTGGGCCTCTTGGGCTTTGAGAAGTTTTCTTCTTCCCGGTGGTTTTACCGGGTGTTCGAATGACATCAGTTGGAGTTTCTCGTAATTGCCTCTCTAACATTTTGATTTGAGATACAGAACTTGCTGACTGCGCTTTGAGGAAGTGTACGGTCGGTGGTCTGTGAGATTGTGTGAAGAACCGGCAGTCGGGTGCTGGTTCATTAACCGGAGGACGATCTTCCATCTTTCTACCATCTTGTTTTATCGTACCATTTGTTATTTTCAGAAGAGCTTCTATGTCGTAGCATTCTCCTGGTGGTATAGCTGTGGTATTTGAAGGTGTTACGCAATCCATGTCCACCTCTTTTCTGAAGACTTGATCTATATCCACACCAGAGAAGAATGCGACCGACATAGGAAGGTTGTCCATGCCCAATTTGAATGCAAACATGGCTCTCGTCCAGAGATTAGCTATTTGCAGTGCGAGTGCTAGCCGATATTTGTCCTTTTCATCAACCAAGAAACGAACTTCATCATGTACGGAAATTAAATACCTTGCTTTTATGTTATATTTGTTGATGAGATGCTCCATAGACACAATAAGCATGTGCAGATAGTCTACACCGCTACTTTGGACGACCCAGTTGACTCTACTGGTCATGAAATTACTACCAGATGCTGGAAGGTGCTTCTTGGATAGAGCCGCTGTAATCTCACATCCTAATGTGGGTGTGCGAGGCTGGTCGCTTAGTGCGATCTCTTCGAGCTTATTGAAAACATACGATTCGGTACCGCCATACCAGAACTTTTTTCCAAATGCATCTCTTATCGTCTTACCCTTTGTCGCGGCGTATAACTCTGTTGCTCTTTGTTTGGCTTCGCTTTCACTTATGGAAGGATTTGATTGAAGGAGCAGCTGTACAGCATGCTTAACACCGGCACCATAAATACGTGAGTAGTTAAAAACCTAAGGAACGTTAAATTATAACAGTATTACCTAATCCCACACACCTTCGCTTGGTCTCTAGAAATACCCAAAATGTTTGCCGAAACAGAATGTAAATCGGTTCCAGCACTCTTTGTACCTTCTAGTGTCATCCAACCTATCGCAGTCGCGCCTTGCACACCAAATTGCGCATCACCCAGAGTAGCACATATCCACAATTCCTCAGAATCAACATCTGCACCAACGAATGCATAACCAGGGGGTGCTCTCACCATGGCTTTAAGTTCACTACCAACTCGGTTTTTCTTAGCATTTGAGGCTGTTAACCAAGTTTTTTCAATAGCTCGACGGGTAATCGTTCCCATTGGAATAACTTCTGGGAGAATCATACCACGTTTGGACTGCTTACCACCTAGACCCATGTTCACGCCATCAGAACCATCATAGACAGCGAACTGCTTCATCACTCTCTCCCTTGAACTAATCCAGTAGCTACACTGTGCATTGAGATCCATTGCTGCATGAGCAGTGTTGTCCTCACTAGTCAGCACACCTGACTCCATGGCATGTATGAATCCCTTCGATAGGAGGTTTCCAACATTGTATTCTTCACCGTCTTTGTGGGGTATTTTGTAGAATGCAAACTCTTTTGTTGCTTCACTGAGCGTAGCATCCGAGGGATGTTTGAAAGCAAGTTCAGGTTGGCGAGTCGTGTGTTTCTCATTGATTATATCACTCCTTGGTACCCTATACACCCAGCCATGTTTGCGTGAACTAAAAACGGGGTAATTGAGCCAACGTAGCTTCAGCAATATTGGTGACAACTTGCTTCTCGTGGATACCTCAATTTTGCCGTCCTCACGCCTATGCTTCCCCTCAAGGTCCCAGTACCATTTTGGTTGCATCAATGAAGAATTCAGGTTTTCTGCAGGCGTCGAAGACTTTATCGGCTTACCGAAAGATTCGTTGAGGCCAACACCAGCTAGCTCGCTTGCATGTAGTAATTTCTTGTGTGATGCCGAGGTTAGCCTCGTTGGTGACCAGTCAAGCTCACTGAGCTCGTTAATGTTGTTATTGAGATAGCTCTCCAACATAATTTTATTGAGTAATGTTTCAGATTTTCCATCACCGCCGCTAAATACACCTAGAAGTTCTTCTTTGGAAAGTACACTGGTCAATCTACCATCTTTTACCAACCCCTCAAATGCCTTGCTAATGACATTGCCAACGATGAAGCTCTTACTAAGTGTATTAGGAACTTTGACAAAGTAGTAATTATCCTCTTCGTATTTCCTAGCATCATTGTCTTTTAATTGCTCCGCTTGAGATTGCAAGGTGTCATCTTTATTTGGTACTTTCGCTGCCCAGCCTAATGTGGTGGTAAAAATTATAGGATGACCCAGGTACTTCAGTTGTATAAGGTATGGTAATATGCTTGCCTTCAGTGATGGTGATGAAAGCATCGAATCTGTGCGTCTTGCAAGCATTTTTGAGAACCAAGTGGGTATTTCAATATCAGTCTTGTTCCCTTTTGAGGTGGTTTTCCGCGCACGTCTGGCACGTTTAGGTGTCCAATCAAGTTGAGATAACCATACATCATCTTTCCATGAGCCATCATCCAATTTTGTCTTGGCCATTTCAGCTAGTTCACCTAGATTGTCATGAACATTGTCTGTCAGTTCTTTGTATTTCCCTTCAGCGGACTTTATGTACTCCTTCCAAGATTGGTCGATAGGTAAAAAGGAGTTTCCCATACCGAGCATGCCTGCAAAACTAACCGGATGTGGGCAACGCTCAAGGAACATTGGCAATACCTTCTGGTAGACATCATGTGTCGCTTGAACATCTAGCGCACAGTATTGCATCAGGTTTTGTAACTCAGGCTTGAGTGTCTCGGCATTACTACTCTCGTCCATGAAGTACTCCCTGGTTTGCTTGTCAAGTCGTGGTTTGTCGGGATTATACAATTCGTAAACATTATTAAGGGAGTTTGATGTTGCAATGTCTTGCCATTGGGAGTTTCCTGTGTCTTCAACTGACACTTGCAGCATTGCTTTATCGATAGCTTCTTGAGCAGCTTTCTCCTCTAGTTCATACTTCATCAATGATTTCTGAAGCTCAGGATCCTCGCGCTCTGTTAAGATATTCCTAACTGTTTGGCTTGCTTCACGTGCATGGTCGCGCTCTAGCTGTTTTTCCTTTCTATGGGCGACCCAAGCTGGTCTCTGAGGACTCGACATACCTCTAACAGCAACATGCAGTGACATTGTGTCAATGAATCTGTTAGTTGACTTCTCCATTGCATATTCTGGTGCCAATCTTGCTCTATCGTAACCAACGTTGTGACCAACGATAATACGACTTCTACTGTCACTCTCTCCCAAGGGTATGAAATGCTCTGTAGAGGTTGAATGGCCAGTTAGATAGGGTGATATCCAACTATACCAATGAGTGGGCGAGGCTGCTACCGCCATAACAGCATGTTGAGAAATATGTGGTAAGGTTTCTACATCAAAAACCACCATAGATTCCGTTGAGGGGCCATTTTCAATGCACTTGTAACTTCCATCGGAATCGTAAACTGTCCAACCGTGGGTGTCTGTAACCCAATAATCTGGCATTGTAGGTAATTTTCTACTGCACAAGTCCTTGGATAATCCTAAATATGGTTCTGCAACTTCGCTCCCAATTCTCCAGAAGTGATGATCTAAATCTGGCCCCTGTAGCGGTGGTAGCGTAAAGCTAGTCTGAGGAAGTGTAGATCCTTTACCACTTGCTAAATTGTGCTTCTCGAGATGTTCTAAGGCGATGTTTACATACGATGGATGCGGTTGTTCGAGATCACGAGGGTAGACTTGCCTACGCAAGGATGGAGTAAGCAGCTGCACTCCTACTTCATTCCTATGTACTTCTGAGGCGTCTGATAGTAAATTGTGAGATGAAGTTCTTTGTGTCATTTGATAGCCTACAAGTTCGTGTAGAAGAATGAGAAGAATGCGTGCTTAAGCTGGCTATACATTGTCAATAGGATATCTTAATACACTGTATATATCGTACTCCAGCTAGCTTTCTTCCTGAGCTCTCCACTGAGCACCCTCCTCATGGTTAGAGATGAAAGCCTAATGTAGCTGTATAGAAGTTATTTATTTAGAGATATATAGATTCCATTTGAGAATAAATCTAACGTCATCATTACTCATGTTCATGACATACGCTTGATAAGCATCGTCGTATTACGAAATCAGATCTTTGGAATTCACTATCAAGATGACAGCGGACATTCTGAAATTCGCAGATAAAGATGGCGAGTTTAGGTGCGTATTATTATACTACCAGTATAAGACGTCTAAACACCCTAGTAGACGCCAGGTTAGTGCATTCAGAGATGAAATAAAAAGCGGCACAAAATTCGAACCAGAGTTTAATCGTTACCATTTAGTAGTATGCTACGCATGTCCATGGGCACACAGAGCACTCATAGTACGCGCACTCAAAGGATTAGAGGACTTCTTGCCTTTATCAGTTGTTCATCCTTACATTAGCGAGGACGGGTGGACATTTGATAAGAACTTTGAGGGTGCAACTGGATGTCAAATTGATGGTGTGGATGCAACGCTGTGAGGGTAAATTTTCACGACCCGTAATTTACTAACACATAGACAGTCTTCGCGATTTGTACTTCACTGCTGACAAAAACTACAATGCTAGGTACACAGTGCCAATTATCTGGGACAACAAACTCAAAACTATCGTGTCTAACGAGTCAAGTGAAATTATTCGCTTCCTTAACAACTTGAAACTGGATGCCGGTGGTGACATCTATCCTGAGCACCTGAGAGGTGAAATTGACGAACTGAATGATTGGGTATACAATACAGTGAACAATGGTGTTTATAAGAGCGGGTTTGCGTCGACACAACAAGCTTATGAGAACCACGTAAAGCCACTCTTCGAGTCATTGGATAGGTTAGAAAAGATACTCTCCGATGGAAGGGATTTCCTTGTTGGTGGCCAACTCACAGAGGCTGATGTTAGGCTTTACACTACTATTGTGAGTATACCTTTTCAAGGCATCTCAACTGACACAATAACACCACAGGTTCGCTTCGATCCTGTCTATTACAGCCACTTTAAGTGTAACTTGGCCATGATCAGATACAATTACCCTAACATCGTAGGTTAATAATATCACAGTAGATTTCGACTGAACACATCCTAGAATCGCTGGATGAAGAATCTTTATTGGAATAACGATGCATTCAAGTCGACAACCAATTTTGACCGTGAGTTTAATTTACCATTTCAATGACATAATTGACGCAAAACAGACATCAAATATCACTACTATCACTCACAACGCAGTGTCAATGCCAGTGGAGTTGTTCCTCTTGGTCCCGTTCCAAATATCGAACCACTTTAGTTATCTAAATACATGTATCAATATACAGTCTACTCCTATAATGTGTTTAATGTGCTCTTAAGTAAGCCCAAGACATCTGGCTTCCTCTTCGTGTAGTATCCAAAAACTATTGCAGAAACAGTAACACTCACTGTAATTGCCCATTTGACACGGTTCCTTCTCATCAATTGTAGCTTTTGATCTTGGTTGCGTTTTACAATTGCAGAAGCAAGTATTTCAAGAGCAGGGAGCGGTTGTTTTACTAAGTTTCCAACCTTCCTGGTTGCAAACTCAGCGGCTTCATCAGAAATACTTATTGGTGGTGATCTGAGGACAGAAAAAGAGCCCATGATTACATCGACATCTACAAACGGATGGTTAAGTGGATACGTTCTCTTTATTTCCATCATTGAATCTAAAAGTAATGGTAACTCTTTATCCAAAGAGTCAGGTATACTGGAAAGTATCGCATGAAGATTGCCAATATCGTCATCGAAATCTTCACTCTTGACTACACCCATAATTTGCTCCTTTTTATGAAGAATCAAAGCAACACAGAAATAGACCAACGTGTGTGGTCCTTCTGCAATCCAAACATCGAACAATCTGGCAATCCCCGCTTGAGATGTTACATCGTGTGCAAAGAGTGTGAGTATCCATGAGAGTGCAAAGAAAGGCTCAGGAGAAGTTTTCTCGACTATAACGGCTAAGTCTAAATCTACTGCTATGAGTATCTTTTGGATTAACCTTAGCCATCCTAGAATAGGTTCTAGTCCGACACCCATACCATCTCTGCACCAATGTAGAGCGAATTTCTCTACAAATTTCTGCATCCTTAGTAAATCTAAATCAAGCTCTACTACTAATACACCAATAATGTCATGAAATCCTTGGAAGTAATGCAACGAAGGTCGTAATCGTAGTGTACTAATGATTAGATCATGTAATAAAGCTTTCAATTGATCTTTCTGCTTGGATGTAATGTTGCGAGGGTAGTGTATAAATGATCTGTCGATATCTAACCTCACTTGATGTTCATCCGGATGTGCTATTCTCAAACTTCGTCTATCTTGTTCGCTAAAAAGGCACAAGTATTCGTTCAAGCTGTATCGTTCATCGATTTCTTCAACGTCTTCCTCACTAAATGGAGACCAGAAGAACCACTGTCTGGCGAGTGCGTATCTACCATTTGGTGAACGTGTTCGTGATCTGCTTCTCGATTTGCTGGGTGATTTCCAAAATTCAGACACTGGAGGTAAAGTTGTTTTCTCGCTGGGTATTTTCAAGAAATGGCACCTGAACTAGTGAGTGAAAGTAAGGACTAGCTAAATATACCTACCAAGTTGCTGTACGAAGAGACCTCGACCTTTCTAAAGCGGATAAACGTGCTAGTTTTCTCAATTGCTCATTGTCGTTACTGGAAAGTGCATTGTCAACTTGACTGTACATACTAGTAGTACGCGATGTGCCATGATCTATTTCTTTCTCCTCTGTGAGTTCTCCATCAGTGTGTATATTTAAGGATTCCTCTTTCTCGCTGATCATGGAAGACTAGAAGAGAGATGTATATGGCATATAGAAATATCTATTATGTCTTACAAATGTAGTACACTTAATGACCATAGATTGTTGGTTTACATCTATGATGTTATGCAATGGAATGACACAGATGAGGTTGTACAAGAGGTATATACCCTACGTTATATAATCCCAAAGGACTCATATCATCCTACTATTCTTACGAACTCAAGCAAATTTGACCAATACCCTGTAATTACGTACTATCATAGTCATAGAACTCCCACGTAATGATTATTTGTGTTTCCTGTAATTAGCACAGCGAATTTTAAAAATTTCAAAAAATAAATTAAAGTTCGCCAGTTCGCCTAAACAGGTATTATTGACAGTTGAAGATATATTAGTCACCTTATTTGGAAGGAGACGTCCATGTTGAAATCAAAATCGCTCTCTACCTTGTTTGCGGGTAAGCAGAAGCAGACATTTAGATTGAGAGTTGTATTCGACAACCCTGAATCACGGGCTACACCGTTCACCTTCGCGTTTTCTCCAACTTTGACAGTAAAACAACTCAAAAAAGAAATTATTAGACAAGAACGTCTAAGAGGAAGAGGAGACTTATTTGAGCTGGTAGACGATGAAGAGTTGTTATTAAACTGTATACGCCTATATAAAACCTCTATCGATGTTGGTGCAGAGAGTCAATTTAGGCAACACAACAAACAACTCTTACAGAAGACGTCCATATTGTCTTACTTCAGTAGTACGTTCGTCGGTGATGACGATATGCCAATCAAGACACTCATGAAGGATGGCAGTTGGTTGAAAAACGACAACATTATACACATGGTAGCGAGAGTCGTTCCATATGCAAATGGTGGGTTAAAAAATAACAAATCGTTAATAACTATTAACATATTGCCCTAGATACTCTTACACTCTTAGCCACTTTTCAAGATGATATCAGTATTGAAGACAACACACCACCAATAGTTATTGATGCAGATGGCGAATGGTCACTACGTAAACTCAAGCAAACATTAATCCAAGCTGATGGAAGACCAATAAATCCGTCGAAGGCGTTGTTATATGCTTCTGACTGTACATTCTCGCCAAGTGCCGAAAAGAATACCAGTATAGACACCACAGAGATTGAAAGAGCAGCGAAAGTACCACTTAGAGTTGAGTCCTTAAAAGTTAGTAACTTTTTCCCACCAAAATCAGATCTTGACAAGATATCAATCATTATTTCATTCGACATTAAGGAACTTCCACCTAAAGTTCGCTATATTCATCCAAGACAGAGGTTTATATTTGATCCGCTACTCACGAAACGTGAGAAAGCAACCAAATGGAAACCAGCTACTGTTAATGCAAGAGGTACATCACATCAAAAGAAGACTATCGAGAAATCCAATAGTGATGGTGAAATTGGTGGACCTGGTCCACAATTTTTGTCACTTCCCCAACTCGATTTTAGCAATTCGTCACATGTTTCTACACCAACTGAGCCTCAACCTCATACACCAACTGATGGACAATCTGAGATCAATAGACCAAAGGAAGAACAATATGGTTTCCTTAACAATGACACAGATACATCAACATCATTGGCATTAGCTTTGGCATCACTTGACAGACCACTAGTAATCTAATCCTGATGTTGCAATCATATAAGGCACTCATGATCATTATTCAATTTTATTAGTCAATATAGTATTTAATAGAACAATTTTACAAACACGGAAATTTTCACTTAATATAGTAGCATAAATGTATATCAAGAAAAAAGCAACAATCAGCAAGCAACTAGGTGCATCTAGCAGGAAAATTTATAATATCTCTTTCACAATTACGTAGGAATCGCATATATCTCATTTAAAATTGTAGTAAATGATAATAGTTAATTGTTATATTTTTACAACAGTTTGTGTGCGAATTTAAAAAGTAACCTCGTGATGTAAAAAAATGCTTATATGTAATCCTAGATAGTGTCCCACTTCTAGAAGTTTTCTTTACCGAAGCTATGAGACGTTAGATAAGTCATCCAAGAGAGTCTTGACTTACAAGAATCTAGTTCCCTTTGGGTTTGAGTATTTGTTGCAACACTTGTGTAAAGCAGAACCAAGAGCTTGAGGACCGCAGACTGAGGGATGATTAGCGTGATAATAGAACCGTACAAAAATCCTCACAAAAGACACCGGCGTCGGTATTTGGATGCTTAGCTGTAATACCTTGGAAAATACGATCCTACGCAGCAATCAGAGAAATCACATCAGAAGAACATTCTTCACTCACCCAATTTGGTCTTCCAAAGTTTGTTGGTGCCCGAAGACCACTAATTGCATCTCTTTCACTACCGATATCATGTGCAAGGATATTTTGGATATCATCAACTTTGATCTTTGCAGTGAGGTATGTTTGAATCTGGAAGGCCATGTTAATTATATAACGTTAGAATATCTTGGCGTACCTCAATGTAGTTGTCAAGATCTTGCTCTTCAATCGCATGCAGAAGGGAATGGAACCACTCGGCAGATCCGAAATCACGGATGACCCAGATGAAGTAAACTTTAGACAATCTAGTAGGTTTGTTTGGATCTGGCCAGTGTGCCCTGTACCAGATATCCTTAAGAATGCTAGCGAATGGTGTTACACCAATACCTGCACCAACGAGAACCGCGATTTCGTACTAAAGATGACAATTAGACGAGTCACATGATTAAAATGATATACTCACATTGAAGACATCCTCACTGGCTGAACCGAATGGCCCATCAATCATAACACGAGGGAGTACCTTATTTACTACACCAGCATTCACACCATTTGGATCGTCACCTTCGATCACCTTATCCTCTTGATCTAAATCGCATCCTAATTTGGCAGCTAGAGCTTTTGTAAAATCACCAGCTATACGTATATGTACACTAATATAATCCTCTTCAGGTGCGCTAGTGAGTGTAAAGGGATGCCATTGCCAGAGAGATATAGCTGGACAATTGAGGAAGATATATTGCCCAGCTTGAGTTCTAATACCCTCTTTGCGTATTTGTAATTCAATAACTTTGCTAGGATGTTGAATGACTTTACTAATATATGTCAACTTCCTCGCTCTATATTCCCTTAAAAGTCTTTCACCAATGTAAATAACACCGCCGGCTATCCAGTACTTCCAAAATACACCGACGACATTGTAATTGCAATATGGTGGAGAATCCGGCTGTATCATACAGAACATACCGTGCGATTGCCAGAGGATAAAGAATGGTATGAATAAGTGATGTGAATACCAAAAGCGTTCGTAACCGACGTTAGCTCTACGAAGCTTCTTCTGGCGAGCGAAATATAGCATGGTCATGAGACATAACAACATAATCCAGCCAGTTGCACCTGGACCAGAAGCAAAGTTACTGAAAAAGAAACCTTTGAAGCCTGTTCCATTGTGGATCGCCAAACGAGCGAAGTTTGATTGGTGCGATAGAACATGTATAACTGTAAAGAAGCAAATGGCATAACCAACTATCTTGTGGAAATCTATGTTCTTATCAAATGGAATAACCTGCCCAAGGGGTGTACTCCTGGCGAATGAAACAAGGGTACGACAAACTGGGAAGAGTATAAATGCGATATTGATGTGCAGACAAAGAGCTGCACTCTTAGCCGATACGAACGATTTACCAAATATTGTACGCGCTTGTATTATGTGAGCATCTCCGCGTCCGCTTAAATGTGCACTTACCACCGACGTACTCATCGTTAAGATCGTAGTGTACGAAGCCCAGACCGAATACCAAACTAGAGATGAGAACCCATACAGCAATAAATAAATAGCTAAGACCGTCATTCAATAAGAATATACGCAATCTATTGATTATTGTGAGATGTTTCTGTTGATTGTGGAGATCCTTGTAACTAAGCGTCTGACCATCTTGCACTTTGTTCAATGAGTTGGCTTTACGATGCCTCAGATGCGCCGTTGTAGGGTATTCTATCGACATCGCCTGCGATGATGGAAGAAGATGTTGAAGAGCAAGAGATATGATGATAAGAGGAAGAGATAGTAAGTGATGATGAGAGATAGTGAAATATAGTGAGTATATATACGCATATGATGCCGTAGATGTATTATAGGTCATAGATATATCGCCTAAACTGTCGTATCCCATAATTTGGGTTATTTCTTTTGATCCTAAGAATAAAGTAGCAGAAATATATGTAGATAGTATAGCAGCGATAAAACACCCGAAGGATACCATCTCTCAACTACACACTGAGATCACATATCGAAAGGACAGAGGAAGACTAGATATAGAATATTGATAACGTATATACCTTTATAAAGACCTATTAAATATCACAAAGAAGCATATTTATTTAGTAATTTTTATATTTTTTTTCTCAGGCGATTGTCGAATTTTTCCAACTGAGATATTCTTCTTTAGGACGCAACAGCTAATCCCAAATGTCACAAGAGCTCGCAACGTGCGGAACTAATCAGCTATTGAAATAAATTACTAATAAACATGCAGTACTTACGCCTCCCTCATCTTGGCTGACGAGAACCTCCCAATCGAAGCTGAGAACATCCTCAAGCTCACCAGTGCAGCTGGTGTCGAGGTTGAAGGTATCTGGGCTACCCTTCTCGCTAAGGCTCTTGAAGGCAAAGACGTCGCTGAAATCTTGACCAACATCTCATCAGGTGCAGCAGCGTAGGTCTTCCCTATAAGAAAATATTTTCATCGTACTAACAAACTGTAGTGCCCCAGCCGCTGCAGGTGCACCAGCCGCTGCTGCTGATGCTCCAGCTGAAGAAGCTCCAAAGAAGGAAGAAGCCAAGGAAGAATCTGACGATGACATGGGTCTCGGTCTCTTCGACTAAGCGAAGTTCTGTAAAAGTCCGATTCATTAGTTTAAGCATTTGGGAAGGTATTTGTTTTGTGCAGGCTGTATTTCCTTTTGAGATTTTTATTTTTTATGTGTGACTATTATACTATATAGTGATTTCATATTATCATTCAATGGATTGATTACTTAGTTTTTTTGTAGCTACTTTGTAGCTACTTAATTAGTCTTCGATTTACTACTTCCGTCTGACGTAGATCGATGACAAATATATTGACATATTAGTTTACTACTACAATATCCCTCTATTCGCTTGTATACATCTCCCAATATATCCCCGCATCTCTCGCACCTCTTTCCATATCCCTCTATCTCTCAAACCACCAACATGGGCAATAGTGCATCCTCCAACAATACCCAAAGACAGCAGAGTATTAAAGACATAGCGACACACAACAGACAGGCCAGTCAGCAGCAGGCAGCCGCCTATAAAGCCCAACAACCTAGACGTAGACCTGAGTTTCCCCGGCGTCGTAGTTTAGAATTACCTGATTTGTTACCTTTATCACAGCACGCAACAGTAGAGAAATCAGCTAAGCCTCAATTAGTTGGTTCGAATGACGTTGAAACTACAAGCAGCACACAAAATGTCAACAAAGATCAACCACCACCAGCTTGGATTCCACAACCGGGGACTGTCAGCTCTCCATTGATAGACGCAGCAGTCGCTTTACAAGCAAGTTACTTCCCTACTGTACCTGCCACACAAGCTACCCCTAGCCTCAAAATGGACGACGGTGCTGATTTACCTGCGTACAACACTGCAGCAGTGCAGAATGATGAGAGCATAGCTGATCATGAATTGACGGATACAGTATTGAGTTGGCGTGGTGGTGGTCACGAAGCTCAGGTTAAATTTGGCCCTGATTGGAAGACAAGCGTACCGATGACGAGGAGGTACGTTTTGTTTTTTTCTGATGAACCATCTGACGTTTTGATAGTGAGGGTGACTTTGTTACTTGTGTTAAACTTCCACCTGGTCACCACAGAATCGTATTTGTGGTAGATAACAATTGGCGTGTCAGTGACGACCTTCAAACAGCAACCGATGATGACGGATTGATGGTCAACTATGTCGAAGTGCCTAAGATCGGCGATAAAATGGAGCACTCGAAGGAAGTTAACAACACGCGTATAATTACACCACAACAGGATAACTTTATCGATTTGTCGCATCAAGATCCAACATTAGCTCATGAATACACAAGTGATATACCCCAAATGCTTATCAACTACGCCAACCTTGAATCTTCACCTCCATCTTCACCACAAGCAAGCAATATTCCACTACCGGAACCACCTATGTTGCCTCGACAGCTGGAAAGAGTCGTATTAAATACTCAACCACCGCAGTTGGCCTCTTCATCAAGCAATCCCGTACCTCATGGCGGTACTCTAGACGATAATAGTGTATTACCAATTCCAAACCATGTTACACTCCGACATCTCACGGCGAGCGCTATACGTGGTGGTGTACTTGCTGTTGGTACGACCACGCGCTATAGAAGGAAATTCATTAGTACAGTTTACTATACTAGCATTGATTGATTGAGGGGTATGATTGAGAAGATTTCATTAACATACAGCGATCAATACACGTATGGATTTATCATTGTTTCAATTTGTAGACATACTATGTATTTAGTGAGGATTTCAAATTTGTTTTTTTAATATTTGTGTGATACTGACCTTTTCCTTATGACCTCATGAAACAAAACCATTATGATACTCTAAACATAAGCAAAGATGCATCTCAAAAAGATATTAAAGTATGTGTTTCAATGTTCTAATATATGCACTTCATAGATACCCTTTAGCTCTCATATAGAAAATTAGCGCTGCAAAATCATCCAGATAGGACGGGAAAAGCAACTGATGAACAATTCAGAGAAGTACAAGAAGCATATTCAGTGCTTAGCGACCCAATGAGGAAGCGTGAATATGATTTAACTAATGGAAGTGCTAGTATACAATTGATATTGATCGTTACCATACTTGCAATGATATACCTAGTCTACAAGATATCAACTTTTCTACCAATATTATTACTTTGTTTACTTACAATTAACGCTAGCAAGTTGGGTAGATCACGTGCACTGCCTCTCACACTTATCATATTATCATTCACATCTGGCTGGCTATTCTTGCTCTTATGGGTAATTTCAATAGGCAGTAATTTAGATGACGTAGAGTGGCTATTTTGGGGTGTTTTATACGCTTCTTTATTTGATAATTATCTTATCATTTCTCTCTTAGTCACTTTCACCTGGACAATCGAACAGACGCGGTTGGGACAGAGGCTGATAAATTTGTCACCTCTAATTGTTGTAGTTAAAGTATTTATTTTAAAATACCTATGACGTCATACGATGTACTATTATTGGACACAGCTTGGCATTTTACACCTTGACAACGATGAACGAAGATGGAGATGAGTAAGAAGTTATTTTATTTTGTTTTACACCTACTAAATTACGATAGCGTTGTACTAGATCCTATCACTTTACACAACGTAGAAGCGAAAGATACGACAAAAGAGGAATATGACTATGTCATGCGCAGACTAAGCGGGAAGGCTAACATAGCTGATGACAATTTTATCAGTAAACCATTCCCACCCACACACTCCAGTCAGGAATTCATTAGAGAGAATTTCCCTACAATTTTGAAGGAGTTTGGAATATACACCGCTATTTTATCTATAATACCATTACCTATACCCTTGATCATTGCTCTCACTGCATGTTTACTATGGAGGATATGGTGGCATCTTGATAATGAAGCTGATAAGCTTGTATATGAACAGGAACGACAAAGAGTACTCAATAGTAAGGCATCCATTGGTGGTATACAGGAGAGTTGTAACTGGATGAATCAGATATTGAGTAGAGTATGGGGCATCATCAATCCTGATCTGTTTACACTTGGTATTGATTTATTGGAAGACACGATGGAATCTATGTTACCATCCTTCATGGCTGGATTTGTAAACGGTGTCAAAGTGAGCGATATGGATCAAGGTACGGTACCAATGCGTGTACTATCTATGAGGGATCTCACAGATGCCGAAATGATGGAAACTCTCAATAATAATGACGAGGAGAAAGAGAGTGATAGTAGAGCTAGACCAGATGAAGAGTCAGGGGAGTATGTCAATTTGGAGATAAATTTCGCCTATAGAGCTAAACCATCGGGTAGTTTAGCCAGCAAGGTTAGTGGAACTGTTTATGAAACATGAGTCGCTAAAGCACCGTACAGTCACGGAATATACACATGCTTATTCACTTCGTCGTAGGCTTAAAAAAGATGTTAGGTGCTGTCATGCCAGTATACGTAGAGGTTCAGGGTATGACAGGAACACTGAGAGCCCGCTGTCAACTTATCCCAGACCCTCCCTTTATAAAGAACACCACAATTGCTTTCATGGGTCTCCCAAAAGTAGTCATATCTGCTACACCACTCACTAAACACTTCCTCAATGCTATGAAATTGCCACTCGTTTCACAATTTATCAATAGCAGTATAAACGCTGCAATGAGAGACTTCTGCGCACCTAAATGTAAGCCAAATTTGCATCTTAAGGTCATATCTGATTGTTTTCCAGCTTACACGGTAGATGTGCAAGATTTATTATTAGAAGATGATGTTAAAGTAGGCTCGATTTACTTAAATCTCATTACTTACAAACCCATCAGCGCGACGCTACTGCTATTGGAGTTATCGATATTCGTATCCATGGGGCTCACGATATAGAGAAAAGCGACACAAATGGTACATCAGATCCGTAAGTTTGGGTTTATTAGAAAAACTCTTCTTATTTGCTTAGATACTGTACGATCTCTTTTAGTAAGGAGCAAAAACCAGTTTATTCAACGCGGGTGAGTTGTCCTATACTACAATAGCTCTTTAACACTGGCATGTAGGTTATTGTCAACGATTTGTACCCAACTTGGGAAGAATCAACAACGATCCTTTTACGTCCAGAGATAATCAAGTCACAGGAGGACATTATTGTACAGCTATACGACTCCGATAGGTTTTCTGCGTGCGTATACTCGATATTTTTTTAAAAGCCTAACGAAGATCTCATAGTGATGACCGTCTGGGTGCAGCTACAATGAGTATCACAAAACTAGTCAGACATCCTGGTAAAGTTTATAGGCTCAACAGTGAGTTAGCTGGACAGGTACATGGAACCAAACGACAAGGCACTCTCAGCTGGAGCGTCTCATTCCACCCTAAAAGAGATCTTAATAAGAGTCTTCTTACCCCAGGTACACATCCAGGTGTACCAGAAGACATCGCCAAGAAATACAAAGATGAATTTGGCGATCATAAACTCGAGAATGAGAATAGACTCGTACAACGCATCAAACCAGAGCCTGATTTCCCTTCTGGTATACTCTCATTTCAAATCCACTCTATTTCGCAACTTGAAGTTAAGAAGATCACTGGTTCATTTGGTACTGACTCAATGCGTAGTGGTGTAGCAGGACAGAGTTATATGGAAACTGAAGATGAAGAATCTTCAGCAGCTCCAAGCAGCTACTGCATTGTTATAGTAAATGACCAAACTGTATACAGAACGCGTAAAAAACCATTTGCATTTAATCCAGTTTTCAACGCTGGTACTGAAAAGTTTATTGCTGATTGGAGGAGCACAGTGGTATGTGTTGTCGTTTATGATTCCCGTTATAGGGAGGAAGATCCAATCCTTGGTGTTATTCCATTGAAACTCTCTGATATACTAAGAAACGGCTGTCAATTGACAAACAGCTACCCACTCATAGGAGGTCTCGGCTATGGTCGTATACGACTAAGCATTTTATTCAGAAGTAGCGATATGAAACTCGAAAGACCTCTACTGGGTTGGGAAATAGGTACCGTACAGCTTCACTCAAACGTCGTTGTGAAATTCAACGAAGGAATGCATGTAAATTATAACAGATGTATTATACGCACGATATCATCAGAGGTCAAACTCAACAAAAGGAAAACAACTGCAGTAGACACAGTCGCTTGGAAAATCGAAACTGATGAACCACCGATGCGCCTTCCAGTTAAACGCCGCTATGCTAGCTCATTCAGACTGGAATTCTATACGAACAGTCGCGTGGGTAACACGCCCGCCGCTGTCGCTATCATCTGGTTAAGGGATGTCGTCGACAATGAAATGCTACGAAACTTTAGAATGTCACTCTGGGAAGGCAAAGATTTCCATCGCTTGATGCAATGTTATACTTATACAGAGGAAGATGCCGAGAGACTCAATTTGAAGAAGATTGGTTATGTCGAATTAGACATAAGATATAAGTCTGGTTTGGGTAAAACACACAGTCATTTCAAAGGTAACAAGGAGAGTATGGATGTCCTGCAAGCTTGGGAAGCGGCCGTCAGTTCTGGCCAGCGTAGCACTGTTGGTGACTTTATAAATGAGTATACCGATGTGGACAGAAACCGTGACCCTGCGAGGGCAGTCATTGGTGGTGCAGACAACAGTTCACATAGAACTTCTCATAGATACAGCACAGATGGATACTCAGTAGGTACTTTGGGCACGTTTGGTGAAATGTCAGGCAGAATGTCCGGTAGAATGTCAGGTGATTTTGGCGAATATGAAACTGATCATGAGGAAGACGGTGAATTAAATAAACACGCCAGACATAACAACAAATCATCAAAAAAAGCGATCAGAAAAGCTATGCATCGTGAGCATAGAGGTAGTTACCAATATAAACCTATTAGAACTGCCTTATGGGCTGCCAAAGGGATGAGGCATACTGCTTCTAATATAAGAGCAAAAGCTTCACTACATGATCGCAGAGCTGATCAAGTGGAAACCGAGGTATAATTACAAAGTTTATTCTTGTGCATATATTTTACTGACTTACATTACATTACAATGCATTATTTTAATGAAGGTACTCGCGTGGATTGTTCTGACTTCATGATTCTTCTTTTTGAAATACTAAAATGATGATAGGACATAAGTAGTCTCGAATGTGAATTTGCAAAATTACGCTTTCTAATTATTTATGATTACATAAACTCTACTGTGTTCCTCTACTGTTATCAATGTAATCTGAAGAACCCCAAAAATTTGTAACAATAGATTCTTTGGATTTACACTTCAAAAATATACTAGCGGGCAAAAATTAAACAGCCCCACGCGGGGCTCGAACCCGCAGCCTTGAGATTAAGAGTCTCACGCTCTACCGATTGAGCTAGCGAGGCGTTGAAAAAATGGACTCATTTCTATATTAAATTACACCAATAATATCGAGATTTTAAAAACTGCCAAAAAAAATTTTACCTGCCGCTGCCCCTGGGGTGGCGGTGAAGGCTTAGATCCTCCCCTCACAAGAGTGTAGTAGGTTCGAATCCAATACGGTGCAAAAGCATCTCAATTTACGACTCCGGTCAAGAAACACTTCCAATTGACTCCTACAAACTCAAGAATGAAATGACCCTGACTCTATAAGAAGTATTGATGGACGAAGTTATAATTTGTACGTCTTAACAATATATTCAGATTTCATCATCATCATCATTTTACCTGGAATCACACACCAATGCTTGAGGGTCTAAAGGAGATGGAAACTATAGTAGCCCATCCTTTCGTACCCTGGGTACCTGCAACACTAAGCTTTTCACGAGCAGAGGATAAAGACCAAGCAAAAGCACAGCACACAAAATTGTGTAGACAATACCACACGTCATGGCACTTCTATACAGATGGGTCATTGGCTGAGGGACAAGTAGCAGCAGCCTGTGTGGCTAAGCTACCACACAAAAGAGAGTGGGTTAGATATTCTTACAGACTATGCACTGACAGCCTGTTTACAATATACGAAGCCGAGTTAGTAGGAGTCTATCTAGCATTAATGCAAGTAGAACGTGAGTTCATACCCCCACACATTCCGACCCCACATACTGTCTTCATCCATAGCGATAGTCTAGCGGTCTTGTCGGCGATCGTTCAGTTAAAAACGACAAAGACAGGACAATACTTGATAAAACAAGTGCTTGACAAAATCGAAAGGATCAAAAGAATGAAAGGAAGAGAAGGAACCATAGTCCAACTGAACTGGATCCCAGGACATACGGGCATCTATGGTAACGAACTAGCTGATATAACAGCCAACGAGGGAAGGACAAAATGTAATCATTACACTAACATTGACTTCACACTTAGTACTTCATACTCAGCAATGCGACGCAGAATGCGCGAACGCTATACAGCTCCATTGAAAATTGAAGCTTCGAGATTGTCAGTCATCAAGTCCAATACCTCAAAAACATCAGCCGGAAAGCTGACAGCTGCAAAAACCGCTAAGATCCTCAATGAACTACCCAGAGCGACACGGTGCCTAGCAACCCAGCTACGTACAGGTCACTTCCCTACGACTAAGTCATATCGATACCGATTCAGGCTAATCGACTCACCGAAATGCAGGACGTGCAGCATAGGTGATAGCATCTCGCATAGAATATTTATATGTAGAAGACACATAATGGCAAGAATCACCTTGCGAAGAAAGATAACCAAGATCAACGTTCGGTTCGAATTAGGGTCCAATGCTCAGGAACGCACAAGCTCTTCAAGCCCTTTACGAGTTTTTCAAACCGCAATTGACTACATACCAAAGATACTCCGGTGGTTCGGCGTAACCGAGAAAATTCCCGGACACGCAAATCACCAAGACATTTTACGACACTAGTCAAGAAACGCTTCCCACCAATTCAACATACCATTCAAATCCTCATGCTTTAAGAAGTATTGATGGACGCAGTTTAACTTTGTATCGTCTTAACAATACATTTAGATTTCATCATCATCATCATCATATATTATTTACCTGGAATCAACTTAAATCGAAGCTATTGGCTTCGTGTTGGAACCAGGTACAGGGCTGAACATACAGAGTCAGTCAAC